TGGCTCCTCGGATGCCCTCTGGGGGCACCTCAGGCCTGGAGCCCAGGGTGAGAGCCCGGAGGAGCCCAGCCGGTTCCCACGCCCGCCGTCCAGGCGCCCCGTCCTGCCTTCAGGAAACAGTTCAGAGGGCGGCCTGGCGGGGGCAGTGCGCCTGGGGCTGAGGGGGGCGCACAGCTCAGCACCACCGTCTGGCCCCGCAGCTCTGCGTGCACGACAACTACAGGAACAACCCTTTCCACAACTTCCGGCACTGCTTCTGCGTGACGCAGATGATGTACAGCATGATCTGGCTCTGCGGGCTCCAGGTGGGTCTGCGGGGCCGTTGCCGGAGGCCGGGGGAGCTCCCACTGGGGACGGCCCCACCACACCCAGGGGACCGCGTGGGGCCCCCAGGGGCTCCTCCGCCCGTCAGCGCCCTCCTCACTACCCCAGAGAGCGGGTGCCGCAGGGGCTTCGTCCTGCCCGAGTCGCCCATTTACCACCCCTCACCCTCCCCCACCCAGGAGAAGTTCTCCCAGATGGACATCCTGGTCCTGATGACTGCGGCCATCTGCCATGACCTGGACCACCCAGGATACAACAACACGTATGTGCACATTTCCCTGTGAAGGGCACTCGGCTGCAGCCCACACACAGCCCTGCCCCAGGCAGGGGCCTCCGAGCCCCACCTCCCACAGGACATAGCGCCCACTGAGGCCTGGTCCAGGCCTGGGCCTCCGAGCCCCGCCCCCCAGCCACACAGGACACAGCGCCCACTGGAGCCTGGTCTAGGGCCTTGGGCCTGGGCACGCAGGACCCTTCCAAGTTACCGAACCCCAAGAGGCCGCCACGCCCTACGGTCCAGGCTGCGGGCTGCACCTCTGCACAGGCAGAGCCCCGTGGTCCCGGCCTTTCTCCCCCGAAGTGGGGGTGACGCCTGTACGCAGGCAGCCCGCCACACCCCATCCTCTGGATCCGGACCCCCACCCCACAGCAGCCTCCCAGCCTTTTTCCAGCCAGAATGAGTCAGGGGCTGGAATTGGACCAGGGGCACAGATGACCTGAGGTCAGGAGGGGCCCACGGGGGTCGTGGGGTCTTTGTGGGGAACATTGGTCCGGCTGGGGCCAGGGGAGGCACAGAGTCCCACCCCACCTGACTCTTGAAGTCCAGGCCGTGTGGCATTGGTTTGCATTTATAGTGACGTCACTTCTACAAAATTTGTGCGTTTGTGCACTGAACTTTATTGTGTGTATGATGACCGGAAATGTGCCCGAACGCCTTGCTGCCTCCTGTCAGGGCCAGAGTGGACTTGAGGTGTGGGAGCCCTTGGGCGCCCCCACCCTCACGGCACAGCCACAGTGACGAGCTGGCACGGAGGCCGTGACCACGGCGTCTGACAGGAAAATGCATCCTGATTCCTCTCCCAGATGTCTGCCCTTTGCGCATATTGAATCTTTTGCAAGGTGCCTTAACGGCCAAGCTGATCACCTTCAGGGCTACGCGACAGGGAGCTGAGATCTACTGTGCTGCCCACCTGGTGGGGCCGCAAGACCTGGATTGCTTCGGTCCGTGGCCGCTGGGAGGCAGGCAGCCAGGGCAGCGTGGTCGGTCCCTTCACCACCTGCACACCTCAGCGTCGTGGCCCTGACTCGCAGGTGCCCCCCAGCCTGTGCGGGCACCTGACGCTCCCTGTTCCCACCCCTGGCTCCAGGTACCAGATCAACGCCCGCACCGAGCTGGCCGTGCGCTACAATGACATCTCACCGCTGGAGAACCACCACTGCGCGGTGGCCTTCCAGATCCTCGCCCGGCCCGAGTGTGACATCTTCGCCAACGTGCAGCCGGACGGGTTCAAGCAGATCAGACAGGTGTGCGGGGGCAGCTCAGACAGGTGTGGGGAGGGGCAGTCAGACAGGTGTGTGGGGACAGATGAGACAGGTGTGGGGGGCAGTCAGGTGTGTGGGGGCAGAACAGAAAGGTGTGTGGAGAGAGGGCATCCTGGACGCAGAGTGAGGCTGTCGGGGGCGGCGGCGAGCGCAGCCACGCGAGACCCTCCTCTCCAGTGGCCGAGGTGCCCAGAGACTCCTAGTTACGTCGCTGCCCGCCAGGTAGGCTAGGGAACCGGCCTCCTTCCCACCTCCTCCAAAGCCACGTAGCACCCCGAGAAGAGGTGCTCGCCCTCGGCATGTGGGCATGGGCCCCACTGGCCGGTGCCTCGCATGCTCTGTTGACCCTGACCCTTTGAGGTCAGCCTTTTCTCCACCCCGCAGCCCCAGGAGTGAGGCTGACGGAGGTCAGGTGACTTACCCACGGAGCACAGACACACCTGCTGCATCCAGCCTAACAACGCTGACCACTGTCCCCTAGCCCCGGGCTGCTGCTCCGTCACCCCATGACCCAGTCGGCCCCTCTGCCCACTTCAAATAAGCCACCTTCCACTTCTCGGGCACGCTGGGCCGGGGGTGAGAGCGCCCATCATCCTGAGCCGGACACTTCCAGCTCACCCCGCTGTCCGCACGGGAGGTCCCACTGAACGCAGCTCTGCTCCATCTTCTGTCATCAGGGAGGGCAGATACCAGGGTGATCTCCGGGCAGAAGGTAGCAGGTTGAAAGATAGCCCCCCGCTGCCAAAAAAACCAGTGTGCCCACCTCCCGACCCCAGCACCGCGGCTGTGCCCTGCTGGATAAAGGGTCTCCGCTGTTGCCATCTGAGGGCTCTCTGGATGAGCTTAGCCTAGACTACGCAGGCGGGCCCTCAGTCCAACGACGAGTGTCCCTAGACGAGACCGAAGAGGCAAAGACGCAGATACGTGGAGGAGGCCACGCGGTGACAGTGGCAGGAACACGCCCAGGACCGCCGGGGGCCTCCGGAAGCCGGGCAAGGCGAGAACGGACGCTGCCCTGAGCCCTCGGCGGGAACCTTGGTTTCAGACTTCCGTCCCCCAGACCTGGGCCGGATCACCTCTCTGTCCTTCCAAGCCATCCCGTCTGTGTGTGCGGTGGCCTCAGGACGCTGGCACGGGAGCCGCCTTTTGCCGCTCTGCGGCCGAAAACGTCACCCGTTTCACGTCTCCACATCCTTGCTCCAGGATGCACCTGGCGAAGTGTCTGTGACCCACTTACCTCCCTCCCGGAGAAGTGACAAGCTTCACCGTATCAGAGGACAGCACTGTCCCCCGACCTGTCCTCGCCCCCAGGAAGTTCAGGGCTAAACGCCGGGCTTGATCGCTGTCACTGTCGAATCACCGGCTCCAGGGCAATGCTCTCCCTGGTCCCAGGCTGTCTGGCCTCTCCCCCAAGTTTATGGACCCGCCCAGCAAGCACGGGCCACCCAGTGCTCTGATAAGCCCTAGGGAGCTTTTCCTTGAAGCGGGTAAGGGGCAGATTCCAAAGGCCAGGCACTGCCTTAGCCACTGCCCTCGATGGCTGCCCAGAGACCTGGACAAGGACCAAAGCAACCGATGTCCCCATGCTGTGTGACTCTGCCCTCCCCGGGAGCACCTCCGAGCAGCATCGCCCCTGCCCAGGAAGGAGGCGCCTGCAGGAGTGGCCACCCACGATGGGCCCCTCCTCACGCCACCCACCATGGGGACACACATCTGTCCTGCCTCACACACTTTCACTGACATGAAAATGTGACTTTTTCTGAGGGCAAAATCAGCTGTCCCAATTTTTAGTAATATTTTGTCACTGAGGGCTAACGTCCCATGGGCATAGATCTTTCTCGTTACACAGGGAAATCGCACAGGTGGCGGCTCACCTCCCCAAAACACAGCTGAGGCTACTATGCCGACTGGTTCGGGTTCTGCATTTGATGCTTGTGGTTTTATTTTCTTGGAAAGGTGGATCATCATCCCCCAAACATTTACGAAACACACCTCTGAGCTGAGGTGTGTTTCGTAAATGTTTGTGGGATCGGTGTGTGGGTGGATGGACGGATGGACAGACAGGTCGTCGGATGAGTGGACAGGTGGACAGATGGGGAGATGGATAAATTGGTGGGTGGGTGAGTGCATGGATGGTCATGGTTTTGAATTATGTTACTTCTAGACCAATCTTTGATGAACAAGGTGATAAAATATTTAACATCTTCATTTACAGGTCTGTTAGTAGAAAAATGCTGTCATCCATAATCATAGTTTGATCATTCTCAAGCAATGTGAGCACATATGGTCGCATACAGATTAGATAATAGGAAAAAAATGCCCTTGGAAAACTGGTCATTGACCCCCCAACAAGATCTGGGAGAGACAAACCGCATCTCTGCTTACCCAGCCGAGGGGAGGCATCGTCCTGGCGGGCCCGGACGCGGCCGCTGCTTCTCGGGGACATGGCCCACGAGGCGTCAGGCGCCCAGCTGGCTTGCGCCCCAGCCCTCCGCCCCCACTCTGCGGCCGGGCAGCCTCCCAGCCTCTCGTGTCTCAGTGTCTGTATCAGAAAAACGAGGACGTTGATTCTCAGACACACGAAGCACTGGCACGAAGATGGAACAGGACCATGCGGGCAGGGGGCGGGACTCGGCCCGCGCACACCCGGCAGCCGCCGTTGACGCTTTTGTCTTTCCCTGCTCAGGGGATGATCACGTTGATCCTGGCCACCGACATGGCCAGGCACGCAGAAATCATGGATTCTTTCAAAGAAAAAATGGAGGATTTTGACTACAGCTGTGAGGAGCACACGACCCTCGTGAGTAGACTCGTCTACCTGTTTGGGGAGGGCTGGTGAATGGGCTCTCCCCCCGCCCCCCACCCCCAGCTCAGCCCGGGGCGTCCGCAGAGCCGGGGTCCCCGTCGCCAGTCTCACTGGGGAAAGCCGCCCGCAGGGCCCCGCTCCCCATCCTCCATCGCATTCCGACCTGAAGGTGATAAGCGGGCGAGGAGAATCCTCCTGCTCTGGTCTCCCGAGGATAAGCGGCTCCCCCCGTGGTAGCAGCACAGCCCCACAAATCACGCCGAACGCCAGCCCCGGGAGGGCGACGTGGACCAGGCGGCCAGGGCCCGGGGCCGGGATGCTGGCCCTGGCTGGCCCCTCGCCCGGTGTTGGGAGCATCTTCCCCAGAAGCCTGCCAGGCGGAGCCCCGAACCGCCTGCCTTCTGGAGTGAGGGAAGGGCCGGGAACCGGGGGAAGGGCTGAAGGGTGGCCGTCTCCTCGAGGCTCAGCGAGGCTAAGCCAGGCGCCGAGCTGAAGGCAGCCGCCCTCCCGGACGACCGGCCCGGCGGATTCGAGGCCCACGGGCCTTCACGCCCAATCTGCCTCAGACCCTGAGTGGCAGCCAGTGCTCTGACCCCAAACACTGGCAACTCCAGGTGGCAGTCATTTGTGCCAGAAGCACGGCAAAGCCAGCAGGCGCCAGCCCTCCACAGCCAGTCCCGAAAGCCCTCACCTGGCCGGTAAAGGTGCAAACGCTCTGGCCTGGCAATAGTCCGCCGGAGGACCCACTGCGTGCCTGGCCCTCGCCAGGCTCAGAGGGGGTTGTCTCCTCGGAGGACGAGAAATGCACCCACCTGGGAACAGCACAAGCCGGAGGGTGGCCGGGAAGGCTGGAGGGAGGGGCCAGAGCAAGACCTGGAAGGACGCATGCTCAGGAGTCAGAAGCAGGGACGGCGTGGGCTGGGGACACAGGCGGACAGTGCACAGGGTCCTGACAGAGGACCCCGGACAACACGGGAGGACACCGGGCTTGAGCGCCGAGGACGGAAGCCAGCGCCACCTCCGGCATGGGCGCGGCTTTGCCAGTTCTGGGTCGGAGGGCACGGAGGGGTCCAGAAGATGCCCACGGGGTCAGCGGGCGGCACCGCAGCTCCCGCTCCTGCGCACGGCTTGGGGACCCAGGCCGTGCCCCCCCTGCTTTTACATGAGGGTCCCTTTCACCTGGGGACCCCAGCACTATCCACCTTTGGTTCCCTTCTAACCTCTGCTTCCTAATGTCAAGTAAACTCAAAAGAGTCTGGAGACTTTGGCTAGAAATAAACGATGAAGATTTATTCTAGGGTCTTAGGGTTTGCAAACCAAAAACACGGCCGGGCAAAGCCCAGAAGCGTCTCAAAGAAGAAAGACAGGCTAAGAGTTCTTAGAGCAAAACGTACATTCGTGGGAAGAATCGGCCGTGCGTTCTCAGCCCTGGGACCGGTCAGGGCAGGTGTCGGGCGCCGGGCGGCCTGGACACGCGAACATTCACAGTCCTTTGGGGCATCGCCGGAGGCTCGCCTGGAGGTCTGGTGTAAATCCACGCACTGACACGGGACCGGAAAGGTCCTGCGTAAGTTCCCAGGCTCGTTAGGCCCTCCGGCCTCGACCTCCTTGATTCTAGTACGTGAGCGGCCTCGCCGACGGTGCCGCTCTGTCCGGTGTGTCTCCCGTGATCAAGAAGACTCCTGAACTTCGCAGCGTGCAGTGCGTGTGACAGGCGTCCGTGGTTCCCCTCCAGGCCCCTCCAGAGAAAGGTTCCGACACTGGAGGGGACGCAGTGACGCCCCCACCTCCCCGTGCTCCCCGGGCGAGGCTCCGGGTCTACGTGCGGACCGGACCGTGAGGGCAGCACCCCAGGGGACCCGCTACACCCTGGAGGGAGCAGCAGAGCTCGGCCCCTCCGCCCGCACCGCCCACCGCCACGTCCTCCTCGTGGGGTGGCAGGGCCACGGCAGCGGGTTCTGGTCTGCGTTCGATCACCTGACTCCAAGTCTCTTTTTCCAGCTGAAGATGATTTTGATAAAATGCTGCGACATCTCCAACGAGGTGCGTCCGATGGAAGTCGCAGAGCCTTGGGTGGACTGCTTACTAGAAGAGTATTTCATGCAGGTGAGAGCGTGTTATGCGACTGTTTTGTGCATGGCGGTCGAGCCCCTCTCGTTCCTCTTAGCCCCTCAAGCAGCGTCCGTGTCTGGCCCGCGACGGTCAGGCCAAGGCGGACGAGCACGTAGGGCAGACAGCCGGACGGCCCTCGCGGCAGACGCACGTCAAGCACGAAAGAGGTTTTAATTTGAGACGTGAAGGACGGTGACAAGCTGGAAAAGCTAATGGCTGTAGAGCTGTCACCTGTTACCACTAATTGAGCCACTGGTGGGGGCCGAGGGCAGGCAAATGGCCCGAAGATAGGGAAACAGAACCACAGAGGCGGAGGGCCTCCGAGCGCGGGGGCCACGCCGTCCGCCTGGGGCCGTGGCCTGCGGAAGCTCTGAGACGGGAAGCTGGGCCGGCCTCACGCGGATAACAGCGCCGCCCACAGCAGCCGGACGAATCACGGGAGAGTGGGTGAGGGGTGGGGGGTGTCCCTGGGACCCGGTCTCTTCCTGACCCCTCCACTCCGTCCCCCTGGGCGTGGCCCTGCACACCCCGCGGACGCCCCGGTCGGCCTTCACGGTGCTGTCACCGTCCCACGGAATTCATAGTTTCCGTGAATTTTCACGGTGCGGGGTGGTTAGCTCGGTTGTGGCCTGTGAGCTCCTCTTTCTCTTCCTGGAAGGACAGTGTGACCCTCGAGTCCCCCGGGCCCCATGGGACTTCTCTCTCTAAGCTGCTGTCTGCTGCACACCCCGCAGAGCGACCGCGAGAAGTCGGAAGGCCTTCCCGTGGCCCCGTTCATGGACAGGGACAAAGTGACCAAAGCCACGGCCCAGATTGGATTCATCAAGTTCGTCCTCATCCCGATGTTCGAAACAGTGACCAAGGTGAGTGTCTGTCAGCCCATCTGGACGACACGACAGTGAGAAACGCACACGTCCGCACGCACGTGCAGGCACGCGCTCCCACACACACTCACGGAGCTGCGGCCGCCGACCCGCCGGAAGACCCCCGCCAGCGTGTGGGGTCAGGCTCACCCGCCCCCGAGCTCTGGCCCAGCAGCGCACCGCAGAGCCTCTCCCTCGGCCCCGTGGAAGCGGGTGGCGGGCACGAGGGGCCCTGGCACTTTGGCCCTAGGCCTCCGATTCTGCTGCAGCCGGGCCCTGGATGGAGGCACATGCCCCATGTGAGCCACCGAGACACGTTTCCCCAGCGCTGTCTGTGCCTTCGCGGTGGCCTGTGGCACAAATCCGTGTCCCCCGCAGCTCTTCCCCGTGGTGAAGGAGATCATGCTGCAGCCCCTTTGGGAATCCAGGGACCGTTACGAGGCGCTGAAGCAGATGGACGACGCCAGGCAGGAGGTAACGGTGTGGCCGAGAGGGTGGCCGTCCTCGGGGCTAGCGGGCGGCGGGGCAGGCTCGCTCCACACCGCCGGCACCGCCGCGGCAGCCCCGCCCAGAGAGGCCAGCTCGGCCGTCAGGGAACCCGGTGCAGTTAGGGGTGGTCACGGTGGTGCCCGCCCAGATGCGTCAGCACCCACAGCCCCCACGGCCCCTCAGCGGCTCCCAGGCTCCCACCCCACCCAATAGCTCCCAGGGTCCCTCAGCAGCTCCCAGGCCCCCGAGCAGTTCCCGAGCCCCACCTCACCCCCATCAGCTCCCGGGTCCCACCCCCCAAGCAGCTCCCAGGGCCCCCCAGCAGCTCCCGGGCCCTACAGGTGGCTCGGCCTATCTGCGGGGTCAGGAGGGCAGGGCAGGCCAGGCCTGGCTGCAGGGTGCTCTGGGGGTCGACACTTTTCACAGGGCAGGTCCAGTTCACAGGCCCAGCACTGGAGTGGGGGCTTTCCACAAATCCCCAGGAGCTGGTCTGGCCAAGTTGGGGCCCCCTGCCTCTCAGGACCCCCGAGGACCTCCCCGCCCAGGATGTGGCCTCCCCTGGGTCCGCACTCCTGCCCCATTCTTCCCAGCGGCCCCGATGCAGCTGCAGCAGGCTCCCCACTGCCACCCACGTGCTGCCCCATCCGACCTGGGCTGGCCTCGCCCCACCCCCCTGATGTGCGGGGCCCCCTGCGATCACCGCCCGTGCTGCCCAGGGCCTCTCGCCAAGGCACCCCCACCCCACTGAGTGCCTGCAGGCACGTCCCACGCAGCTGTCATCTTCCTCGACCTGCCTTGTGCGCGACGCGGGACCCGGGTGCCCAGGAAATGCTATGGGCCACTGACGGCCCAAGCGGCCACCCTTTCTTTCCAGCGCAATTCTGCTGGACGGTCACAGCCAGGTCCATGGTATAAGGGGTGATATCCCGCTGGCCGGGTCCCCAGCAGCAGGGCTACGGGCCCCTGACTGCTGGGCCGTCCGCGAACCATCACAGTGAAGGCCTTGAGTCCCCAAGTCCCAGTGCAGCCGCCCAGTGGGGTCACCGGGACCCTGCAGGGTGCCATCCAGCCCCCCGAGAGGACAGACCAGAATGGGAGGTGAAAGGGACAAGGACCACGCACTCACCACTCAGCAGCCAGTGTGGGCTCGGGCCCGAGAGCGTGACTGACCACACAGGGCGAGGCCTCCCGTAGCAGGAGGGTGGCTGGCACACAGCCGTGTCTGAGCTCGCACGTGCGTGTGTGGGTGGGTGGGTGTGGGCGCGCACACTCCGAGCTTGCGGACAGCGGTCTCGATGTCACGTGTTAGCGTCTTCCGTCACGTAGACGGTCACTCACTCACCGTCCCCTGACTTTTGCCTTCGTTATGCTCTGTCCTCTTGCAGAAGACGACGGAGGGCCTGACGTGTGGGGACTCCGACACGTCGAGGGAGAAGAGCAGAGACGTGACAAAGAGTGAAGGTAACGCTCTGCCATGGTGACGTCTCGGGGCTGGGGACTCTGGCGGGAGGGAACATGAACACTTTCAAATGAGTGAAATGTTTATTCCTTGCTTAGTTAGAACGAGGCTTTGAAGGCAGGGGGCACACTTCAGTTAACAGAAAGGTCAGCACTTAGCATGTGTACCACGGCCAGCTCAGAGGGCTTTTCAAAAGCTTTTCAAAAGCTTTTCACGAAGAAAGCGTTTGCCGGCTTTGCCGTGAGCACAGCCCCACGCACTTGCTGGCACGAGCCATTTACTCAGCCCGTGCACAAGGCAGACCAGCCCATTCGGCCCCCTGATGCTGAGGGGACCCCACACACGTGTCTGAAGGATCACACGAGGATCCTTTATAAACCGATCAGTAAAGGACGGTTCGCAAAGCATTCAAGGTGCCGGGCATGAGAAACTGGGTTTGGTTTTGCAGTAGAGGCGGCGCCCGGCGTCCCACAAACCACACGGAGCTCGGAGTCCGGGCTTCGCCGATTGCTAGCCGAGTGACGTGCGGGGCGCCTCCAGCTCTCCGAGCCCCCCCTCTCCCCCGGCACCTTGATCGCCGAGGTGGAGGTGATGATGCGTGTCCTTGGTGGTTTCTGCAGTTCAATGAGCAGAGGCTCGTGCGCGGGGAGCGCTCGGCCAGCGCTGGGTCTCCATTGCGAAGTCGGATCACGCGTTTGAGTGGCTCAGAAGAAGGATCGCGATCGTTTCATTTTGCCTAAGCGTGTTCGACGGTGTGTCAGACGGCCCCGCTTCCCAAACACAGTCCGCGTCTAATCCCGTGACGTTGGCGGTTTCGCCTACACGTTCCAACCCCAACGAAAACAAACCGGGGGGCGTTTCTCGTTCCGAGCAGACCACGCCTGAAGGAGGCCGGAGCGCCCGCGGGTGTCCCCACCAGGCTGTCCTACGAGGCGGCGGGAAGAGCTGATCCCGAGCCCCAGGCACCACGTGAACCGTTTTGTTCACCGACACACAAAAAAAGAAACACAAGGAATTCTCGATGCTGTACAGAATTTTTATTTTTAAACTGCCTTTGAAATAATATATTCTTATACAGAAATGGGTACTGCACTTTTTCTTGGGTGGAGTTGTGCCGCGCCCCGTCCTCTCTCCCGGGGGGCCCGGGACGCTGTGCTTGCCCGCGGATGTATCTCGGAGCGTTTGTCCAGTGTGACGTGACGTGCGCATCGTGTAAACTCAGCATTAAATGTCAGGCTGCTGCCCGGAGCCCAAGGACGCGCGTGTCCTGTGTTTGTGAGCTGTGAGAGGGACGTTGGCGTCTGTGCGGGCAGGTGGGGACCTGAGGCGGCTCGGTCACCCTGTAGGTCACACACGCAGTCCACGCGGGACACAAACACCCTGCAGGCTGGTGCCCGTTTGCTGGGAGGTGGGAGCTAAACATTTAATTCTCAGATAAGAGAAGGAGCAGGTGACTCGGCGCGTTTGAGGGTGTCTGTCTCAGGAGACAGAGCTGTCCTTTTCTTCCCGCTTTGTTTTAGGGACAAGCACTGGGGACTTTCTGGGTGGCACTGAGCCCACAGAGAGAGACCCGACCCCGGCTTGTTGATGGTCAGGCTTCGAGAGACCACACACACCTCTGCTCTCTCAGACCCCCCACCTGCTTTAGACTCCTCAGTGCCTCCCAGGGCTGTGGGCCCATCGCTGCCCCTCCCCAGGGACAGATAACCTCCCAGGGAGCCTCCGACCTGAGGACTGACCGTCAAGGCCATCTGTGTGATCCACGCTCACGGCCGTGCCATCAGCTGGTTCCTTGTCCTCGAGCAGCTCCTCCTGGTGAATTCCGGAACGTTGCCCCCTCTCCGTGCCTAATTTATTTTTGCGCTGGGAGATTTTCCATCTCCTCCTGAATCTGGCCCGGCGTGGACAGGGGCCTTGGGCTCCACATCTCTTCCCGTGTCTGTGTTTTCATTTTAATTCTGCTACAGCCAGTACATACGGCAGCTTCGGCCAGAGTACAGCCAAACGTGGCGTCGGCCCGCGTGTCATCCTGCCGCCAGGGTTTATTGCCCGCTCCCCCCGCGGCGGAGAGCTCTCCCGACACCGGCTCCCCCGTAAGCGGTGCTCAATGAGGCCGGGCGCCCACCTCGCCGAACTCTGCCCCCGAATCGAACTCCACCCGAAGCTTTTTGAACTTTACAGTCACGCACACAAACACATACACAGATGCGTCATCACACACCCCCCCACACACACACACACATACACACGGGGCACAACCCCTTCACCACCCACCAGCCGGCCCCAAAGCCCGTGGCTGAGGCGCTGTCCCGCGGGCCAGCCTGCTCGCCCAGGGCTGGACGCCCCCACCTGGAGGCACCCACACGGTTGGCTGAGTGGGGGCCCGCGTGGGTGCGGCCGCTGACCGACGGCCCGCATGCAGTCAGCGTGAAGGGTAAGGCGTTCGGGCCGAGACACGGCCATGCACCACGGTCTCCCAACCGGGGTGGGGCCGACCGCTGCCAGGTGCAGCACGCGGTGACAGCCACACTGTCCTGGGACCGGCCACGCCTTCGTCACCTGCACTCACACAAGGCAGCAGGAGACGCTTTTCCCGTGGTTTTCTCCCCAAGAACTTGTAGGATTTGAGGAACGAGGCACGTGTCAGAGGCTGGATCTGGTCACCCACAGATCCTCCCAGATGTCACCCTTGGAACCGAGGTGATTCCCAGCCCCCACCCCCTCCATCAGGAAGGCGCTGCAGCTTTTCGCGATTCTGCTTTGACCTTGAATATAAAGAGAGAAGGAGAAAAGTCTACCACTTCGGCCCCGGAGGTGTCCCCCACGGCCGAACGCCCCCACCCACGGTCGCACGCTCAGACCACGGGCCTTCTGTGGCTTCCTCCTTCGTCAGGTCTGAAGCCAGCGACAACAGTCCTCACGTGCTGGCATCTTTAACCAGACCGCGTCGGAAGATCGGTTCAGCGTGAGGGCTGAGCGAACACTCCACACACGGAACCCTTAATCCCGGATGAAGACGGTCGGCGGGAACGGCCGCCTCTGGTTCAGAGCAGCAGCTGCTCCGGGTGGCCGTGCCACAGGGCTGCCCCCGCGTCCGTCCCCACAGGAAACGCCACCTTCCATCCTCCCGGGCAGCTGCGGCGCTGGGCCCCGCCCCGCCCCAGGCACCGGCGGGAGGGAGACGGTGAGCTGGGCAAGAAGGTTCTGCTCTGTGTCCCAGAGCGGCACCTGCTGTCGTGAGCGGAGGTGTTTAAATTTTAAATCAGACGAACATAGCTGGAATCAGGGGCAGATGAAATCGCAGCCCCGGAATTCGGGGGAGCTACTCTCAGTCATCCAGACGGGCTGAGTGAGGGTGCGGGGGACGCTGTCGCCCTGTGTGTTCAGGTGCGTTTCCCAGCTTCCTCGGGGGACTCCCAGCCCTGCCCGGCGGGGATGGGGACGTGGGGAGAACAGTGGGCCCCACTGCGTCTTGGGGCTCCCAGGGTGTGCCTTTGACAGAATCGGGCTGGGAAACAGAGCAGAGTTTGCCTCAGGCAGGAGCCAGGTCCTGTGAGGGGTGAGTCCCCTTGTTACTGACTCAGTTGTGTCCCCCCAATACTCATATGTTGAAGCCCTAACCCCCAGCCCCCAGAGTTCGACTGTGTTGAGGTCTTTACAGAGGTGATTGACTTAAACTTAGAATGAGGTCACGGGGTGGGTCCTGCTCCAGTCTGGCCGGTGTCCTTATAAGGAGGTAGTCAGGACACAGACACAGAACAACCACGTGGGGTTGTCGGCATCTGCACCCAAGGACGGAGGCGTCAGGAGGGACAGCCCTGCCCACACCTGACCCCGGACTCCAGCCTCCAGGATCAAGAGGAAATGTCTGGTTTAAGCTGCCCAGTCTGTGGTGCTTGGTCATGGCAGCCCTGGGCCACTCGGTCAACCTGTCACTATAACCAGGCGCTGGCCGGGAGCTGCACACGGGGTTGCTCAGGACAGATCGAAGCTGGTGGCTGGCGGGCAGCGGGGCGGCATGCAGGCCAGGCAGCGGCCCTCCTCTCTCTGGGCGTCTGGGAAGGGTGTGCGGGGTGAGCCGCCAGCATCGTCTGCGTCCCAGGCTTGGACGCTGTCACAGGAAGCTGGCCGAAGGGCCCTGCCAGCTGGGAGACCTGCGGAAACATCTGGAAGCTTCATCTCTCCTCGGGCCAAGCAAGGCCTCGGAGAGCTTCCAGCCCTTAGGATGCAAGACACGCGTGGACGTGGGGAGAGAGGGTCCAGGCCATGTCCGCCCTGCGGGGTCTCGCTGCCCCAGGACGGAGGCCGGCCCCGGGGTCATGACACGCGGGGCGGCCGGGGAGGTTTTCGTTTACCTCATGGTTTCCAGGCTTCCCACGGTGACCGACTTGACTTTTATAAGTAAAATAAATAAATAAAAGTTATTTTATTTTAAAGATGGGCCATGGGAACGGCATGACTATGCGGAGAAGCTTGGTGGAGGATGGGGTGGGGCAGACGAGTTTCCTTCTGCACCCTCAAATCCCCCACACCAGCCCGGGGCCTCGCATCCCCTGCAATTCTCAGTAGCCCTGATTCCAAATAGCGGCCCCATCATGTTTGTCACAGAAGCATCCAGGGTCCCTGAGCTGCGTTTCCCAAACCTTCAGACGCGTAAGCGGGAAAAATCCCTTCCCAGGTCATGCACTCGCTCCCCCTTCTGAAACCACACGGTGCCCTCTGCCTGTGGTGGTCCCGGGCCCCCGGCTCTGCCGATGCCGGCCCTCCTCAGGGCGCTGGGGACAGTGAGAACGTGGCCTGGCCTCTGCGGTGGGCTCCGCCCTGCCCCTCACCCTCCTGCCCACCCCCCCGCCCCCCACGGCCCTCGGAGTGCTGGGTGCCTGCTGGGTGTCCCCGCCCCCCACGGTCCTCGGGGTGCTGGGTGCCTGCTGCGTGTCCGGGACCTTGGAGCCCGTCTTCAGCGGGCCCAGCTGGCTTGCAGCACAGCCTGCTCCGCAGTCACACAGGGCACTGGGGGTGTGCGGAATGAGAGCTCCAGAGTCACCTCTGAAAGACCAGCGGCCTGCGGAGGGGACAGAGAGCCCCAGGCGGCTGGGACGCAGCCCTTGCTGCCGGCTTTCTGGGGGAGGCACCCCGAGTCCTGTCAGATAGGCCCCATGGCCAAGATGAGCAGCTGGCCTCGGAGCTCAGTGGGAGCATGCGGAGGGCGGGGGAGGGGAGGCCTGGGTGCAGGTGATCTGGGGGGGCCCTGCAGAGGTGGGGCTCGGCCGTGCTGGAGACTGGAGGCCAGGGTGGGACACATCCGGTCGCCTGGGGAGAGATGGCAGCTGGGCCCAAGGACCGGGCTTGGCAGTCAGTCGCAAGAACGAGGGGGAGGTGTCCTCTGTGGTCACCACCACGTGGACTTGGGGCTGCCCGGGCCCACTGCGCCTTGCGCCCTGCCTGGCTGTGACGCCCACAGGAGCCCGGCCACCGGGCCTGCCCCGCAGCCCTGCCTCTCGCCGTGAAGTCCCAGCAGCCCAGGGCAGGTTTGGGGTGACGCACGTCGTTTAGTCGATAGGCACCCAGGAGACGTGCACCCAGGCCCGGCCCTGGTGGCTGGCGCCTATTAGGAGCTTGGACACTTGCCAGATGAATGAATTTGCGTTCGTGGCCACTCACCCAAAGAACCACATCACCCTGCAGAACGTGCGTGTGGCGGTACGCGGGGCACAGGGACACCAGCGTGTATGTGTGAGCATGTGCTTGTGTGTGCACACGTTTATGTGCACACGTGTGTCCACACCGAGCCTCCCCGCACACCGAGACACGGGAAATTAAACGACGGGGAGGTGCCGGGCATTCGTCCTTGGCACGATTTCTCGGATCTGGCAGCGAACAGGGTAACATAAGGAACGTTTGGGCTC